GTGCGGCCCTCCCCGATAGCGGTTACATGGTTGCGTGGCAACTCCGGTGTTCGCGTAGGAAGGGGAGGGGGGGTTGTGGAGTGGTCTGGCCTGGGCAGGTATGCGGAACACCAAGAGTGGTTGACGGATCTGCGGTTCGGTTCTTGTTAGCCCGTTAAGGGAGTTTTCTTGTTCCGTTGTGTTTGTGTTGCATTTATGACTGTTGTTCAATATGTTCGCGTTTGGATGTTAACTTGGGTTTTTTGGACGCTGGGTGTCCTTGTCTGTGGGGAGGACCTGTTTATATATATAAATATAGTGTGTCTGTTATTTTCTTTGTTTAGTTGTGTGTTTTTTTATGTGTGTGATTTTTCTTTTGGGAGTTGCTGTATTTTCTTGTTGGGAGTTGTTGTTTTTCTCCTGTTGGGAGATCTTGTTTTTTAGTTTCTTTCTGTGTTTAGGTTGGTTCTAGTCTGTCTCGGACTTTTGTCTATGAAGATAGTCTTTCCAACTAGATTCAGCTGAGTTGCGGATTTATTCGGCTGTTTGGTTGTTTTCTAGTATGTAATTATGTGTTTTTCTTTAATTGAAGTCGATCGATGGAGTAAAAAACTTTATTTTATTTAAAATATTATTTTAATACAAACTCAAAATTTACTCAAACCTTAAAAGTTTTTAGCAACTAAATCCCCAATCCACTAATCAGCTTCAAGTTCAGTCTTTTTTTTTTTTCTCCTATGCACTCCACACTACTTTATTCTCTTTCAACCCCACCCTCCTCCCTACACGCACGCACATATATATACATAACTATTATTATTGACCATTTAGTGTAATTTATAAATCATGAAATACGTGGAAAAGGGCATAGAACAAAAAACTGTCTTCCTCATCCTCTCGTCGCCATTTCTCTCTGGCAAAATCACCATCTCCCTGGTCGGCGACTTGGCCGAAATGACACTTCAATTTATAGCCTGCCCCGTTCACAACCTAAATTTGACGTTGGAATTCGGCCGGTCGTCCGTTTCCCCCAAGAAACAAATGGCAGACTCTAAATCAAAATTTCCATTCAAAAAACATCTTTCGTTGCAGCTGATATCTTTCTTACTAACCGCAATGATGAAGCTGTGGAGTTATTAATTTGGCCACGGTGATAGTCTAATACAATAAGTTAGCAGACCTCAGATTTAACGGAGTAGCAACCGGCGTCATTTTTCGACTACATGACAATGAGACAGTCAATTTCCTGCTACAACCAAGGTCGTCCCAATAACATAAGTCTTGCCAACCGAAGTCTAAGAAAGTTGACTTTCAACATACTACGAAGGCAGCGATGACTCATACAGTCATCATTACTGTTATCCAGTTGGCAGACAATCGCCTCTGAATAGCTACTTTACATTAAATGCAATCACACCTACCTTGTACGGCGGGTCAACTGCTATATAAATAGCGGAATTAGTTATTATAAAAGGGAGACTTTTCCTCTAAGACTCGGAGAAGATACATGAAAATTTTCGATGAATATAACGCCATCTATACATTCAACCGACGTCTTGTATGATCCATATTTCGAGCAATAACACTATTACTCTATATTTCTGACTACATTATCGTATAATCATCGTTGTTAATTTATGTATAACAAAAGCTACCTCGAGGCCAACAAATAAGGATAGTGTAATTTTTATGGCTTTTTTCAAAATTGATTTTACTGTAGAATTCAATTTTATTTTATTTTTTAAAAAAATGGGGGTTTGATTATCATTTTTGTGGCAATAAACTTCGAATTTGATTTATATTTTATCAAATACCATTTTTTAAAGAAAAATTAGGGTTCTTTAAATTGAAATCGAAATTTTGGGTTTATCATTTCAGAATTAAAGATTTTCATTTGTGGCATATTTTTTGGCAATGAACTTCAAATTTGATTTACAATTTATCAGTTACAGATTTTTTTAGATAAATTATGATTCTTTGAATTGAAAAGTAGAGTTTATCATTTCAAAATTGGAGATTTTCAGTTGTGGTCTTTAAGAGTGATATTAAGGTTGAATTAAAATTTGTTTTTGTATATTTTCTTGTTTATTGTGTTTCTGTGGAAGAAAACAACAATGTTCTAATTTCTTAGCATATATGATATGGTTGAAAATTTGTTTTTATTTATATTTTTGTGATAGGGCAATGAATTGAGATTGAGGTACTCGCCTGCTTACTTCAAAGATGTCACGAAGAGGATCAATGTTGTTCTTTCGTACGCATATATGCAGACTTTAGAAAAGAGTCATTTTTATTTTTTCTAAATATGCATGACTTACCGATAACTCATACATGAGTAGAAGCCTTAATTAGTACATATAGGATAGATAAGAATGCATTTGTAGTAGGAAATGGCTTGTTACTTTACTTTGATGCTTTTGAATTTAGTATAAACAATGAGATTGAAACAAAGGTAAAGATCTTGGTCTGGAGTCAAAATTGTTATTTGAAGGATAGGTTTGGGAGACCGTACGAGTTTGAGAATGAAAGATGTTTTTGATAGGACAATTTGAGGAAGATGTTATTGATGACTTTATCCAGATGTTCGCTCTTTTTGTGTTCAAATTGCGTTTTATTTCCATGTTAGATCGTGGATGCGAGTAGAATTTGTGTATACGCATGAGAAGATGCTACTGAATCGATAGATATGTCGTACTTCGATGAATGCTCAGTGGGACTGATGACATGTATAAGTTTATTTCAATTTCTTAATACAATAATGTTAAATTGTGAAGTTCTAAAACTTTGAAGTGTATGTGTAGGCTTGGTTGTACAAGCGTGTCTTTTCACTGGGTAAAAGATCAACACTAGAAGCGATACCTTTCTAAACGAGGAACTCAATTTCAGTTAATTCAAATATTCTTAATAATTCTTATTATTTATAATCTAGCTTGATATTGATTTTTTAGAATTAAAGAATATTTTCTAGTTAGGAAAATTATTTATTGAATTATCATTATATGATTATAGTTATTCTTAGAGGTGTGACTACCATTTTAAATAAAAATGCAAAGTACTTGAAATTTAATATAATTTTTTTTTTTTATGTATAAAATTTTTGTGCTACTATTTGTAATCTTTAAAAACATAAACGGAAAATGATAAAAACCACGTCAAGTAAAAAATTCAGCATGGAACGACAAACCTTTTACATTACAAATTTACAATGTGTGATATGGTGTCGAACTTCCTCTATGTGTAGCTCGTGTAGCATGAAGAAGTTTCAACCAATTCCTAAAGGGGTAAATTGCGCCAAACCCCCATGTATTATACGAAATATGCGCCTTATCCCCCTGTATTTTAAAAAATGTGCCATACTTCCTTGTATTATACTTTTGATTGCGTGTTATCCCCTAAACCGTCTAACTTGACGGATGTGCATTTCACGCGCGTGTGGTGCGGCTTTTTCTCTATTTTTTCGCCATAAACTCAGGGAAATGACTATTTTGCCCCTTAATACCTGAATTAAATTTCACTCCTCTTTCCTGGGCTAAGGGTTCTTCAATCCATTTTCTTCCAAATTGCCTTTCTGCAGTAATTGTGAAGAAGTCGGTGGATCATCAGAGCCAAGAAAAGCGTGCTATTTTTGCCTGAATTTTATACAGAAATCGTCATTCGAGGCGGAGCAATCGCCTATTCGAGTCCTTCCGGCTGAAGAACGAAGGCAGGGGGACGGATCTGGGAGACGGCGACAGGGTGAACACGGATCCAGCGTAGACGTCGGCCGGCGGCGGCGACCGGATCTGCCTCCGACCCGTAAGATCGTCGGCAGATTTCCTCGGCGGAAGGCTAGGGTTTCCGCCGGCTGCGGACGGTGGGGTGATCGAGCTCAGCGACTCGCCTCTCCTCAAAATCGTCACCTTTCCCATGGATACCGGGGTCTCAGCTAGGGCTTCAACCCTCCGCCGCGAATTAGGGGCTCCGCCGTGCCGGTGGCTCGATTTCCTCGCCTCCAGCTTCGGGTGGGAGTTCTTCCCGCCGTGCTGCTTGCGGTGAGCAGCAAAGTTACTCAAATTCCCCGCCGCCGCCGGCGAGATTCTCCTGCGTTGGAACGGCGCCGGATGGACTCCGAACCTGGGCCGTAAAACCTCCGTCGCCATCTAAATCTTTGGAAGAAAAAGAGTGTTCAGATAGATTCCAACTGCAGAAAAATCGAGATTTATGAGCAGAATATGATTTTCAATTTCCACTGCTTTAGACTTACTGTAATTGTTTGTTTCTGAGGGCATAACGAGAAGTTAAGCAAAAAATTAACGGGGTTAACACGGAAACGAGGAGGGGGGAGCGTGCGCAATCAAAAGTATAATACAAGGGGGTATGACACATTTTTTAAAATACAGGGGGATAAGGCACAAATTTCGTATAATACAGGGGTTTGACGCAATTTACCAATGTTTGCATACAATTTTTTTTTAAAAAATTACAATATTTTAACTTAATTAATTTTTTAAACTCAATCTTCTCATCATCAATATTATCACTATTAATTAAATAATGGAAATATTCTATGGTCCCGTTACGGGACCATTCCATCGGGTTAAGTTACAAAACTCGACGGAATAATTCCGTGTACATTTCTCGACACGTGATAAATAAATCAACCCGTGATATTTTCACAGCCACACAATCATCAAAGCTCAAAAAGGCTCATCCATCTAGATTCCCCCAGTACTGGGATCATCTTTCTCGACACGTGGCACGCAGAGACTGGTCAAATCACTCCACCTCTCTTCCACCTCAGCGCAGCCGAACACCAGCAAAATCCCGACCTCAAGAAACTCAAAGGTCATCACTTCCATTCTTCTCATGGCGTTTACAGCTTAAAGAATCGAAAAAAGAAAAAGACTCGAGCTTTTCGGGCTGTTTATGAAATGGAGGCACTCAAGGCACCTGGGCTAACGCCATTATCAGTCCTTGCTCAAAAAACAGAGCCCAAGAAAAACCCCTTATCACTAGCCACCATCTCTCCATTAAAACTGCAGCCCTTTTCCGTTTCAAAACCTCTGCACGGCAGTTTGATCATTCTGTCTTCATTCCTGAGCTCCGAATTAGCCAAAGCATTGACATACGATGAGGCCCTCGAGCAATCGATCCGCAGCTCCGCGTCGGATTTTGACATCAACAGCTTCATCGGTTTCGCATCCGAAAATCCGATCATCCTCGGCGGCGGGGCGGCGGTTGTGGCCGTGCCGGTTGTGGTCTCGAGGCTGCTGAGCAAGCCGAAGCGGTGGGGAGTCGAGAGCGCAAAGGCGGCGTACATGAAATTGGGGGACGACGGAAGTGCACAACTGCTCGATATTAGGGCTACGGCGGAGATAAAGCAGACAGGGAGTCCGGAGATTAGGGGCCTGAAGAAAAAGCCGGTGGCGGTCGTGTATAAAGCTGAAGAAAAACCGGGTTTTTTGAAGAAGTTGTCTTTGAAGTTCAAGGAACCGGAAAAGACAACACTGTTTATACTGGACAAGTAATAAGATTTGAGATTTTTAGGTTCATGTTTTTTATTGTTCTTCTTCTTCTTTATTTATTTATTTTTATGGAATTGATGCTGTTGTACATTGATGACTGACAATTAGTGTGCCTTGCATGATTCACTGATGCTGCATTAGTTTTGATCCAGTTAGTAGAATCAACAGTTCATATATAAGCAGATAAAATTGGTTGAGAATTCGAGGTTTGCAAATAGAATCTGCAAGTCGAATCAGTTTCAAGATAATATTATTGTAAGAAGCTCGTGAGCTCATTCTACTGAGAAATTATTCGGAAACTCTTCTACAGATTCTTATAACCTGTAAAACTTATTAAGATAATTTAAGACCAAAACCAAACTCTTTCTTAGTTCGATCTGTGTCAGTTGCATCCTAATTCCTATGAACGTCCTAACAAAACCTGTCTCTGGAAGATAATCGTGAAGTGCTTAATCTTATGATACTCCTTTTTCGATGAAGACAGATTCGATGGGAACTCGGAACTTGTGGCTGAACTGGTTACGGAAAATGGCTTCAAAGCTGCTTATGCAATAAAAGACGGGGCAGAAGGGCCGAGAGGATGGTTGGTTAGTGCATGACCTATTTTCATTCTCTTATTTAGAGCTTTCAGCAAAGCTGCTAGTGAAAAACTTTGAAGAGAGATTAAATTATGCAGAAAAGTGACCTTCCATGGATACTTCCAAAGAAGACATTGAGCTTTGACCTCAGCAACTTCACGGATGCTTTTGGGGTAACGTAAAGCCATGCTGCTGAAATTTTTGTCTTAGTAATACTACAGTAGAGGCTCTTTTGCTAATTCTCTGTCTTTGTCTGTCGTTCACTGATAACATGTACATTTTCTTTATTAAAATTTTCATAGCAATTGTTTTTCGGTCCGTATGGTTAATAGGAGGCAGCTGAGATTGTACCCTCGACACTCGGTGTTGCAGCAGCAGCAGCTGGTCTTGGACTATTGGCTTTTACAGAGGTTAGGCAATAGTCACAGTATAGTATATGATCTACTTTGTCTTCTTTTGCTTACTTTTTCTGTATAGGGTTTATTGATGATGACCTAGTCTTCCCGTGTTATTCTTTCAGGTGGAAACAATTCTCCAAATACTAGGTTCGGCTGCTCTCGTGCAGTTTGCAAGCAAGAAACTCCTGTTTGCAGAGGTTTCCTTATTAATTACTTCTAAACTGTCAGTTTATTATCTTTCGTTGTTTTTCTCTATGACTTGAAAAAAATAACAAAAGAGGAAGAAAGTATAACCACAAATCATTTGATTATATTTGATTTTCCGAACTGATTGGTTTTCTAATCATGCCATGCTGCTCCACTGTAATATATATATAGAAAGTATAACCGCGAATCGTTTGAAAGGAAATTCAGCCCCATGCCTTTATTTGTATCTTCATATCGTAACATCAAAATTTTCAACCTTAGGCATCCTCAAACAACTCATGTGACTTGTATTTTTACAGGACCGGAAGCGAACTTTACAGCAAATTGAAGAGCTTCTGAACACCAAAGTTGGCCCTAAAGAGTTTGTGGATGACATTCAGGTAACGAACTCTTATCTAAAACACGATCTATAATCCTGAAAATTCTTCATTTTACAGTAAAAGCCCTTCTTTTCTGATTATTTTGTTGCTCTTACCATTTGATTCAACTCTTTTTAGAAAATAGGGAAGGCTCTCCTACCATCACCCGTAATTAGCAATGCTCTACCTGCTGCTCCAGGAGAAACAACGCCAATGCTCGGCCCAGCTGAAACTGCTGTTCTAAAATCCAAGACGGAAAGTGTCCCAACAGAAGCCAAAACCACTCTACAAGTCAACTCTGTCCCGGAAGCAGAAATCGAACAAGAATCTCTTCCTGCTCCTCCTGCTAGGCCACTTTCACCTTATCCCAAAGTAAGTTCTTGTAAAAAGTTTACATATTGTGTATACGTCGTACGTCCTAGTTAATTCCAATTCTTCTAGAATGTGTTTTTCTTCTTGCATAGTGTGAAGTGAAGAATATAGTCCATTACATCTTTTGTGCATAGTCTATGGTGAGAAAAAAAAATTACAAACTGAAAAAAAAAATGCATCATAAGTAAAGATGAAACATTGATGCAACAAGTGTTTGTAACACAACACCATAAGGAGGTATTTGCAATTTTCAGTTTGATCTTCATTGTGCTTAATTTTTTAATCGTCTTTTTTCACTGCAGTATCCCGATTACAAACCCCCATCATCTCCAAGTCCATCACAGCCTTAGGGTCACGATGACGTATCTCTCGGGATATCAGCAGCATATTCTCCTCTAAAAGCTGAGAGACAAGATAATTTTTTGAGCTTATATGTATGCCAAATGTTATTGTCATCTTTGTCGTTCAAGTACGTACTATTCGGGAGCTCCCGTTGGATACTGAATCAGCCTAGCCAGTTGGTTAGCTTGTTAATTAGAGTAATAATTAAGCAAATGAGTGTAGCAAGAGACAGAGGTCTTTGAATAGATAGTTTTCTCTTTGCGTGTGTGAGGATTTTGTATCATATCATCACTTTGTACACTACGGAAGCTCTTTGTGTGAATGCTGCAATTTGATGGTGTTACCTTTGTGATTTGAATTTTTAAAATATAGAAATGCAGAGATTTTAATTTCTTGTGCTTCGTAATATATTGATTTATTGTGTTTTGTAATTTTCAATGTCAATTTCCAATGATTTGGAGTAGTTTGGACATTTATTTTGTCAATTAGGATTTTTAATATTACTAGTAAAGTGCACGTGATATATAATTTTTTTTTTTTTATAAGTTGAAAGATACATAAAATTAGAATATGAGCATATCTATATCTACATAATTAATAGTTAATGCATTTAATAAAATATTTAATAAAATTTATTTTCATTTCCCTCAAAAAAACATTTACAATTTTTTAATTAATTATTCACTAATTTGCTAAAATCGTTACACCTTAATATATATATATTTATTATTTATTTATTTGAATTAGTTAATAAATTCATTCTAAATTTGGTAGCAAAATATTCAAATGTATAACGGCTAATGTTAGAACTTAAAGTTGATTGATACACTCAGAGCTGTAACCGCTATATTTGGTTGCATTGTTGGAAAAAAAAAATGTGATTGACACATATTTTTTTTTTCTAAAAATCAAAATCACCAACAATTTTTTTTTTTTATTTATGTTAATTTTCTTAGTATATGCCACAAATATGTAAATTATTTTATACATGTTACTAATCTAAGCGGTGCATGGTGAAAATAAAATTTAAATCTCAATTAATTTTAAATGATAAAAATAACTTAAGAAAAAAAGTAATAATTTTTATATGATAGAAGTGCGTGGCCAATTAATAAATAAAAACAAAAACATGTTTTATATCTGTACAAATGCACAGAATCAAATACTAGTAATGATATGAAAGCTAACAACTTTAAAAATGAGATACAACCGTGAATCATTTTATTGTAGTCTTATGTATAGCAGAAATTCTATGGCATCCATATCGGCGCTATAATTATTATAGAATAATAAATAGAATATGAGTAAATTTAATTCATAAAATTTATTTTATTAATCTTAAAATTGTTTGGACAGAAAAAATAAGCCATTTATATTAATGGAATAAAAAATGAAACCTAACAATTAAATAAAAATCTGAGGCCCGGCCCGGCCCGCCCCGGCCCGCCCGGCCCAATTCTCCTGACATAATAACTAATACAAGTTACGTTTTAGAGTTTTTTTCAATACAAGGCATGAAAATAGGTAAACTATCTATTCCCCACCCACCCCCATATCGTTCCACGCCGAGAAAGGAGGAATCAAATCGAAAATGGCAGTGGACGGTGGAAACGACGACGTTCTGACCAGGCTCCCGCAGGACATCATCTTCCACATCTTCTTCAAACTTCCCCCCAAAACCCTACTCCGGCTCAGGTGTGTTTCCAGATTCCTCAATTCCCTAATCCCCCACCCACACTTCCTCAGCCTCCACATCGCCGCCTCCGCCGGCCCCCGCTGCCACCACCTCCTCAACTACGATTCCCCCGATTCCGCGAAATCCTACTTCTCTTTCCGAGCCGACCCGACTCTGGACCCCTCTAAAACCTTCGAGAACCCCTTCAGGAGCGTAAATGGCTACATGCGGCTCGTCGGCTCCAGCCGCGGAATTCTGTGCCTGTTCGACACCAGCTACTTCACCTCCGTAGGCACCCTGATTTTCTGGAACCCTTTTATCCGTAAGCTCAAAATCGTCCCTACCCTGCCGGAGTTGGGCTGCGTCTGGACCCGAATATCGCACATGGCAGTAGGATTTGGGTTCGATCCAGAATGTGACGATTTTAAGGTCGTCAAGGTGTTGTACAGCTGTGATGATGATCCCTTTCCGTCCAGGGCCTTTGTTTACGAGCTAAAAATCGGGTCTTGGAGGATCATCAACTGGCCACCCCCTTGTTTCTTGCCCATGTATTGGACTGGCAGTGTGTTTCTCAGAGGGTTTGTGCACTGGCTGGCGTATGAGCGGCCAAGGTTTAATGGCCCCCCTAATTGCATTATGGGATTTGATATGACAGAGGAGGTTTTCAAGTCTATGGAGTTGCCTAAGAATGCTGTGGTCAAGGGTAAGGAGTTGAGGCTGTGTCCTTCTGCTGATGAGCAAACGTTGGCTCTGTTTGTGAGCAGTCGAGGAAATATGAACACGGTGTGGGATTTGTGGTTGATGAGTGATTACGGCAATGTGGGATCTTGGAATAGAGTTTATACCATCGCGCTTGATGTGAAATTCTTACCTTTGAAGATTACGAATGAGAGGGAAATTCTGGCTGTGAGAAATGATAAAAAATTGGTTTCGGTTAATTTCGAGAAGGATGAAGTTGACGATCTTGAAGTTTGTGGTTTGCCATCATCTTTCTTTGCTGATGGTTACTTGCCAAGCTTGGCGTTGCTTGATTGTGGAGAACAGTTTATTGATTAGGGATTGATTGTTCATAGCGTGAATGGGGTCGAAGAAAGCATGAAGAATAATGGTAAATATTTCGTACTGTAATGAAGTGTTAAGTTTTTCACTTCGTATATATTTGCATAAAGTTTATGATTATCATTATATTGTATGATCTTTAAAATATGTTTAGACGATAGGACCTTTGGGGATTATTTGTAGCGAAATTCAAAAACAAATTTGTTTATGTGATGCTCTTTTTACATTGGCCTTGTGCTGCAAAAGCTTCTGTTCTTTTAGGTTTTTTGCTTACAATTAAATTAAATTATAGAAAAAAATCTTTCAAGGTTTCTGTCTACTTGCAGGAAAACCTGGAAAGGGCTCGTATTTGTGTTGTCTGAATTTGTTTGCAATTATTAGGGCCCAGCATGATTAGCTACGCGTGTGATAAAATCACGTTTTTGTTTGAGTTTGATGAGTAATCCTCAGTTGGGGAGTCTGCTAATACTTTGTCTCGACGAGTATGCTTTTTTACAGTTAAAAGCCCATTCTTGATGTGTTTTTCTTTTTTTATTTTTTCTAAGATAGTGAGTAGAAGTAAGAGTGAACAAGAGGGGTATAACTGTGGGAATTGAATGAGTAGATCAAATTATTCTGGGTTCCCAAATGGTTGTGCCTGCAAGGAACAAAAACAACATAGAAGTAAGGAACCATTTGGTGGAAGGAGGAGTAATCCCAGATGAAGCGCACCATGACAGGATGAAGCCCAAGTGGGGTTTCATCCCAAAACCAATTGGTGGAAGGAGGAGTAGCCTATTAGACTTATTAATTAAACTTATTTTCCTTATATAAACGATGTGGGACAACTCACAAGTGATATTCTCACACGAAATAAGGAACACGGAGAGCGTGTCCAATCTTAGAACACCACCGAACCCGATAATCTTGAAATGTTTACAAATGACGATCATTTTCCTTCCTTTTCGTTCCCCTCAACCCTAATTGAGCCCGAGAATTTGGAAACACGACTTTTTTCCGAGGCTAGCAACTTTGCAGTGTCACAATGCCACGTGCATGAATTAGGGACGGAAGCATCTCGAACACGACTGCGTCGGCAAACTTCTCGATTGGGGATTTGGATTCCCTGATAGATCAAATTGATTTCAGCCCCCAATTGCTCGACACAATGGATTACTTCTAATACAATCATTACACGTATGGTCTCTGTGTGAATATCGAATGATCCTAGCTTGCATTGAAGAATGAATTTTTCAAAGAAATTGTTCTTACCAATAGTAAAATCAATTCCGGGGGGATGTACGATTTGAGGTGCCCTCTTATAGAAGCTGACCAAGAGATTTTTCCTTAACTAGGTGAAAATTTTACTTCTTTTGTACAAGTGTTGTTGTCCATTTCTAGCTTCTAGCTGTTGTATGCCTTTCATCTGCTGAAGTTAGCATTTTCCAAATCTTTCTTGGAATTCAGAAGATAAAGAAAAACTCTGCTACTTCTCGGTTTACATAATTTTGAGGTAATTGGGTTTGTTTTTGTAGTTGGTCTATTTTTGTAATTTGTTATTAAATAAATAAATTATACTAAGACCTATCATAAATTAGCTCGGCCAGTTCATTGTCATTAATGGCCCAATTGGCAGAAGGCCCAATTAGAGTGTTACTTTTAGGTCTTCATGACTGCAAACGAGCCGAGTCGAGTCGAACATTGACTTTATCGAGCAGGATTGACTTTTTTTTAGCTGCTTGAACTCGATTTTTTAAGCTCGAGCCCGACTCGATAAAAAATTACAATAGTTTGAGCTCGGCTCGAAATCAAAATGCTCGAGCTCGGCTCGAGTTCGGCTTGAAAATTTTTAAGTGGAAATGTAAAATTACCATTAACGACTAACATATATATAAGGAGTATTTTAGTAATTTAACATGTATCTCGAACCGCTCGACAAGATAAAATATGGGCTCGAGCTCGACTCGAGTTCGTGCTCGAGCCGCTCGAACTCGAGTCGAGCGCTCGCGAGCGGCTCGCGAATTGCTCGGTTAGTTTGCAGCCCTAGTCTTGACTTGTACTCGTAGGCCATCAAATTACTTCTCCACTGATGATAATAATTAATTAAAAAAAAAAAGAAGAAAAGGAAAGAAAATATATTTTGATACTGCTATAAACTAATGTACATAAATTGACTATTCATCACATCATAAAAGTAAGCAACAAAGAAGATGGGTGAATAGAGGAACATGCAACATTGCCAAAAATAGATGACATAAAGTTTGATATAATAAATGACATAAAGTTTGATATAATAACACGTGTCACTATCTTATTACTTTATACATTAATTTTAAAATCAATAACTACTAGTACAATACTCGTGTATTATACGGGTGCTTGTTAAAAATTATTCTTAAATTTTAAAATTAATGAGAAAACTGTATTAAATTTAGTTTACTTTTTTACAAAAAAAAAATATATTACTTTTTTAGAATGGTATGTGTTACTTATGAC